ATTTCGTTTGTTGAAATGTTTAAACCTCTTCACAGTCAGGACTGCATAGAACTGAATTTACTGCTTCAGGTATCTACCCCCAACTGCTGAGATTTTTTTGTAGTATTTCTTAATTTTTCGGAAAACTGTAACAATACTTTGCTATGACCACATACACATCATCCACATACTACAAGACTTCATGGTAAACATATTTGTTAGATTAAAATGTTGTTGTTTTTATCTTAATCGTGAAGAAACATATTGCAACTACTACAAGATTCACTTGGACAAACATAAACGCAATATTTTACACCATTTTAACTGTTGGAATGTCATAGAAACTATTGAATTAAAAAATACTAATTACGTTGCGTAAATTATGCATAATATATCGCCGCTGTGGAACTTCAAAGGGATATCAGTAGAAAATAGATAAACAAATAGCCTTGAAATTAATTAGTACTATCTCTTTGTTATAAATTTTTTAGTTTAGTTTTTAGGTTAGTTTAGTAAAAGTGTTCTGTGGTTAGTTTAGCTTAAATTTTAATGAACGATTTTTTTTATAATGGCAAGATGAAATAAAAAGACATTCGGCCTCCGTTCTGACTATCAGTCTCGGCACGAATAAGCTCCTGTAAAATATATAAAAAACGATAATGATAAGGTTTATTTTTGTAATTACAATTTTTCGGAGTTATAAGTCCTGTTATATAATACTAAGTACATAACTCGGAGTTAAGGTATTTTATATTTTCTTCTAAGATCCTGTATTGTATTAAAAATATTGGTGGCATCTAAAAAGCATTAAATCTAAAGTATCGATACCCGAAGGCATGGAGTAATTTATAGTAAATTAAAACCAAAATGGACTACTGTTTCTGTTGCCACAAAAGTTCTGTAAAACTTTAGTTTTTAGGTTGATAGTATCTTACAAAATAAATATATCCTGCTTTGATATCTTGATGGAAGAGAAAGTTCAAAATTATGAATGTAGTCTTATTTACAAAAATATATTTATTACAAGGCATTATGGTATAAGACATAAATCAAAGACAACTCTACCGCCATCCGCTAGAGTGGGAGAGGAGAACATTTGAAAAGGACAAAGATAATAAAATCAAATCTCGAGACTGTTACAAGCACTAGTGAATGTCAAACCATAATACACACTAGGGATGCCCAAAAACATAATTTGTATCGATATATCGTATCGTAATGTATCGCATGTGTTTGTATCGATACACGATATTATCGTATCCTTTTGTAACGATACCAGAGATGTACAAAATACCCTGTAAAAAGTATTTAAAATACTAGATACAAAATAGGTATCTTATAGATACTTTTTATAAATACGAATACTTTTCTAAAAAAGATTTGAATTTAAGTTTGTTTATTAAAGACCACAAAAACCTAAATCTTAGACCAGATGGTTCCAGGGACAAAGTGGATTTTTTAAGCATTTTTCATTAGAAACAATTTTTGTAAGCTTTTATTTGGTTTTCTGTGTTTGTACTCAAATCTTACAAGCTAAATTTCATCCACTTTTCCTCCGTTTTATTTGTTTGTAAATCACAATGTAACATATAAAAATTCAAATATTTAATACATCAGGTCTAAATTATTTTAAATTTTTTAGTTCCTTTTTAATAATATTTTTTTTTCAATATAGCATTGTGAATGAAAAATTGCTGAAATATAACAACAAGAATAATTATTTAAATTTAATTATAAAATTATTATTTATTTAAAAAGCAGGTTTTACGTACGACGTAAAATTACGGAGAACTGAAAATTCATTTTTTCCTTGTGAGATGAAGAGAGTGGGTAAAAATAAATACAGTACTTGGCTTTAAAATTAATGGCGTGTGTGTGTTTCTGTGGTTGATTATAGTACGTTGGTTTGTAGGAAAGGCTTATAATACGTAGATGTACCTAAAAAGACGTAGAGTTGGTATTGCTGGTACTGTTGGTATTGCGCCATTAGTTACCATCTGATCGGATAAATCCAATCTCAACCGGATTTGAAGTATTAATTAAGTCTTTATCTATGAAATTTCAGTTTTTAATAAAATAAATGAAGCTTTATTTTCTTATTTCTATTAATCAAAGTAATCACCCATGCAATCAATACATCTTTGCCAACGCATTGGTAGGTTAATGATGCTTTCTTGAAGAAATCAGCTGGCCGCGAGGCAACAAATACTTCAAAGGCATTTTGTACTGCCTCTGGGGAATTTATTTTTTTCCCGCTAAGACGTTATCCAAATTCTGGAAGAATTAGAAGTCTGTAGGCGCATGGTCTGTTAAGTATGGCAGATGACGGAGAACTTCAAACCCCAGCTCTTGTAGCTTGGGTACCGTCAATTGTGTAGTATGAGGTCGTACGTGATCGTGCAGGAGCAGTGGAACCGAACGATTGACAAAACCTGGTTGGAGTTGTGTCAGCTTCTCCGTCATTGTGTTCAGTTCTTCACAATACACACAGTAAATCTGCAGTAATGCTCGTCCTGTTTGGTAAGAAGCTGTGATGAAATACATCCGCGTTAGACCACCAAACAGCAACCTTTTCGTAAACCAATAACGGGTGGTGCGTTCGTTTGTAGTGTTCGCTCTGCAAACGTTGTAATGTTGCGTGCCGCTTGTGCCGCTTGTGCCGCTTGTGCCGCTTTGCTGCCATGACGGTACTCATACTCCATAATTACTCGAATTTTTAACTTATCCATGACGACGAAAAATATTCAAATGCATTGAAAACAAAACACTTAACTATTGAACAAATGACGATTTTAGAAAAATAATTTGATATTAGAATTATCAGCCAAAAAAATATAGTTTGATTTTAAATGGCTAGTACAGCAGAACGGCAATTACATAGGTAAAGACCTAATATTAAGACAGGACGCCGCCCAATATTTTGTTGTTTCTCAATAAAGATCCCTTGAATTAAATGGTTACTTATTAAAGCAAAATCTACTATACGATTACATCACAGATTGTGTTGTATTTTTGAAAAATAAAGGAGTATTAATTGACGATGTCAAAGAAATTATTTGAAGAATTTTTTCGATTAACAAATTTATTTTTATGACCAATTAGTTGAAAAGCAGTGGGTAATTATTTTCAATATATGCAATGACAGCACTCGTTTCCGAACTACTGAAGATTTGTCAGTATTTTTTTGTATTATGCCTCATAATGCGAATATTGATTTTTTTTCGCTCATGAATATGCAGTGGTCAAAAGATAGAAAAAGATTAACTGATGAGTCAATAAAAGCAATATTGCTTTGCTCACGGGATATAATTTCAAGCATTTGCCATGTATCGAATTTCATAGTGAAATTTCTTTAAAAATAAACTTTTTGAATGCTGTTGTTAGTGGAAAAAGTATAATGTGCAAAAAAATAATAAAATTTAATAATGAGTTCAATTGATATACTGAGTTTTATTTATAGCATATAACCGGGTTTTTACATAAATCAAGATTTTTTATTGCTTGTAACTGGTTATTCGATTTCAAGCCCTATGCTCCATCTATCAATTTTTACTAGGGAGGGTGTATTACACCGGTATAACCGTACGTTCAGTTCTAAGCATTTACTTTTTAAATGACACCAAACAATGTTTGGATTCGAGTTATTTTTAACTAAATATTCATTGCGTTGATAATTGAACACTTTCTTTTTGTAGATATGTATGTTTTAGGCAAAGATATTTATAAAAGGTGAGAAACAATCTTTTTATAAAGTATTTTATCAGAAAAAGTATTTAAAAGATACTAAGATACTAAACAAAAGTATTTAGATACAAAATACTTCCTAAAAAAAGTATTTTAGATACAAGATGAAAATACGTATTTTGTATCTTGTATCTGTATTTCAAATACTTGTATCTAAGATAAGTCACATCACTGAACGATACATACGATATTTTCGATATTTCATATAAAATGAGGTAAGTATTTCGCTTTTTAGTGACAAAGTCAAACTCTAACCATAATTATTAGCATAACAAAAACAAACTTTGCAAATTATTGCAGAACTCTAAATAAAAACAAACTTTTTATTATTCACAGTTACCATTGCTCTGCACTTAATCTGCGTAAAAATAGCAGTCTAGAAAGGCGTTTTGGATCTATTCGATTACGGGTTTCTGAAAGTGTGGATCCAGCTAAAGAAATAAATATTCGGAGGGAACAGAAGTAGCCACAACAGATAAATAACGCAGCGCCAAATGACTGAGATCAGGCCAAATATTCTTTCTTTTCACCCAGTATAATACAGGGCTTTCTTTCCTCTCTTTAAGAGGTTCTCTCATATATTGTTTCAAAATATCAACCATGCCTTCTCTGGGTTCACATAGACAAGCAATGAACTTTATATTTAAACAAAATTGTCGGTACCTAACTACAAAGATCTCAAGTAATCCTAATCTACCTACAAAATATAAATAAAAGTCGGCTCGTATCATCTCCTACTATTCTGTTACATGTTAAATAATTACTTATAAGCTATAACAAAGTATTCATCGCATTAAAATGATATGAGACGGTGCCGTTAGGTATTGGGATCCTCATTAATTTTATTGTAAACAAAATGTCTCAATCTAATGCGATACGTCGATACGATATTGTAGTGAGAATACGATATATCGCAACGAATCATATGGCTAAAATATCGTATCATATATCGATATATCGTATGGTTCTGTATCGATATTCCGACTTGCCCTATATTTATGTAATGACTTGTGAAAACGATAGTCGTTTTACAGTTTATCAAATAAGATAAATAATATTTAGGAACTTCATTTTTATGCAATGAAAGCATTTTAACAGTATATTATTATTCCAATTAATTTCTTTGTAATCACGTAATAAGAGTCAACAATCTGTAATGAATGAATAATCTCCTTTTCTACCATTTGTCGGTCATAGTATAATCTAATAGTATTTCGGATCCCTAGAGTATGCATTAAAACAAAACTATCGATACTTCATCTTAGGAATCGATACTTATTGCGTATCCCTAGTCGGGTGTAGTTGAAGTAGAGTAGTGTAAACATGAGAGTTTTCTAAATAATTGTTGCTTTCATTGCATTTTTGAACAGTTTTTATGATTATACGGGACAGAGAAGTGTAATATTTATTATTTTTGTGATATTATCTTTAAGATGTAATAGTGATTAAAATTATTCAATTTTGCTACTGAAACCTTTCAATGGCTAGTGACAACGACAAAAGTTGTACTAATCATAACTCAGATGGTTCACTGAAGCCCAACAAGAATCACGGAAATATTGCAAATATTGGTAAGTGTTTTTGTAGTTTTTTCCTTAAGTATATATTTTGCAGCCTAACATTACTTTTTTGATTGATTATTTTTTATAACCTGAGCAACTTTTAACTACTTGTTTACACCTAAAACAAGTTTTATTTAGACATCGAATGTTATTAACTTAAATATCATATAATTCGCTCTTAATCTAAACATTAACAGGCAGTAACTTTATTTTAGAAATCACTTAGTTTATCTTAATAATGAGTATGGAAAGAATAAGTTTGCCATATGAAAGTATTTTTTTTAACAAATAGCTTTGTAAAATTTAAAAAAACTTCTAAAACGTTAATAAGGTTTGTTGTTATTGTGCTTTAAGCATACTATTCGTAATTTCTGTGTTATAAAAAATATAAATTATGGGTTCCTCTATTATATCTTTTATTGTTTTTCCCTATTTCAAAAAGCTATATAACAAATTTTCTTTTAGTCTTCTAGTAATTTAATGACAGTGTTTAAAATTTTGCTTAAAAATTATAGTAATACTGGAGGTATAATCAAATGATATGTAAAACTTTTGTTAATTTTGCAATAGATAAATTTAAGAAATTATCTGGTTGTAAATGCTGGTATGTCACATAGCATTTGAGCTTGGATGAAAACTCGTTTCTTGTATTTTTCCAAACCATTAAATCTATAGCAAACTTTGTAGTGGGATAAACAATATTAATATTCTAATACCTTACATATTTCTGTACTGAAAATAATAATTCTGTAATATCTGTCTGGTGCAGGTTTATTTATGCACTATCTATAATCTAAAATAAAATATCCTCTGAGCTGTAAAAATTATTCATTATTATTAGAATGAATAATAAAGTTTAAATATCTTGTTACTCAATTTACCAATATAGGGAAAAATGTGTGGCATGTAATACCAAAAGTTTATTGATAAAGTATTTAGAATTTATATTATTTAATTTAATTATAAGTTTTATTCCAAATTTTCTTTTAAATATTATAATTTTTAATTGTTACACTAATAAAAAAAAATAATCATCTAAATAACGACTTTAACCATTACTGTATTTTTAATAACTTTGTATTTTTTAATAAATAATAACGACTTTAACCAATTAAATTGTGAAAATAACAATTTAGATAGAACATGTCAGAATCTTTTTAAGCATGTCTTTTAGTGATAAACTAGGTTTCCGCCAGTGACTTTGCCTGTATAGTCTTGTATTATATATAAAAACCTTCCTTTTGAATTACCCTATCTATGTAATAAAACCACATCAAAATCCATTGCATAGTTTGAAAGATTAAAGTATACATAGGGATATAGGGACAGAGAAAGCAACTTTTGTTTTATACTATTTAGTGATTTACCATAAATACATGTTATTGTATTATTTCAATTTCATTAAGAATCTATTTTGGCTTGGGAGATTTGTTAAAAATTGATTGACATGGCTCTCTTTTTGAATAAATAATGTCACAGATCAAATTTTCATATCACATTTCCTCATCCATTTTAATCAATTTAATTTAGTTTTGAAATATTCTCAACTCAGGGATCATGTTATAGTACAAGAGTTAGTGACAAAAATGTACAAGAGTTTTCTTTAGATAGATATTCAGTATATGGAAATATAATAAGGGTTTACATATTAACCACAGTGGAGGTCATGTGTGGGAACTTTGAGTGGTGACAGTGATTGCACTATGAGTGAAGCATATAAAATATTGAAAATTAACTTTTAATAAAAATGTGGTGACTCAGCAGGTAAGTGTAAAAATCAGCTTAGTAGTTGAAAATTAACTAATCATTAAATTATTACCAGTTGGTTGAAAAAGAAAATTGCAGACTTTTCTTTATCAAAGTAAGAATACTAAACAATCACTAGAAGTAACTCACACCACCACCACCAGGTGACCTCACACTGGGCAATGAATAATGTATTTTCTTCGTGATGCCCTTTTAAAACTTAAAAACAAGATGAGTTTTTTCCATGAATTTATAAAACGTCAAGAAGTTATAGGTGAATGTCATAAATAATAGTTTTTAAGATTGATAAATATGACAGTATGAACTAAATCCCTTTGCCTGTATCTAGAAAAATTGCCATTTGTCTAATTCACAATAGGGTTGCCAAGTCAAGTGATTGTTGTACCCACATAGCCAAATTATTTGAGTAGCCTATTTTTTAAAACATCATCGTTTATGATCTCATAGAAACTGAGTACCTATTCAATATATGAATCAAAAATCAATGAATCAAATATTACGAGAATTAATCTGACATTTTTACTCTTTTGTAGATACTAAACTTTGGCATACCTTGCATCATTTCACAATTGGTATATAATAGGTTTATACCAGAATGGTAACAAACAGTTTATAGATTCGCATCAAAAAGTGCAAAAAAACCACACATATGATTTACAGATTTGCGCTAAAACATACTATTTTAGGTTTTTACCCATCTGGCAATATCAAATAAAAACGTCAATGTCACACGTACGTTAACGTCAAAGTAGTATACCTATAGAACAAAGTCATGTTCTGTAACCATCGTCAAAGTAAGCTTTTGTTGATATATACACAATAATTTGGAATCCTTTTTGAACTAAAAAAATATGAAAAATGATTTTTCATCTGGAAGACAGTACAACAGAAAGGGTGCCTCCGGTACTTGAAGATATTATACAGCAAGTTCTCGCACAGGAGAAGTCGTGCGACTCTTGCCAAACAAATTTAATGTTTGTACTTATTTTAATTATAATGGTAGAAAATGGGTTTGCGCCCTTAGAAAAAGATACAGTAATTAATATTAGTGCATCGGATGTTGTCGGAAACATAAAGAAATGGCACACACAATGGGGGACTTTTGAAGTACAATTTGTCATGAATGATTTTCATGACATTCCTGTAAAGCTAATAATTAGCTTTTTGGGTGCTACAGCTTTAGTAAACTTGGTTATAACAGAACTAGATTCAGAGACATACAGTGTTTGCTTGCCTGTCAGTCGCTATGTTGTTTCACCTCAAGCATCAACAATTCCAATGATATTTCGTGACTTGAGGCATCTCTCAGTAACTCTCAAAAATAAGATTCTGTCTGCAGTGAAAAGTAGGCTCCTTAGTCATCTTGGATATGCAAGTGCAAGTTTAATAGGACTCCCTGAAGAACTTTTGTATGGAATCATTCTGTATGTGCCAATAACTGATGTGATAAATCTTAGTAAAACATGCAAAAGGCTGTACCATTTATTGAACAAGGAAATTATGTGGCATATGTTATGTAAGAGAGATTTTGCAGTTGGTCAACATGATGCAAATTCTTGGAAAATGTTTTATCAGGAAAAATATAAGGAGCAACAAGAACATAATTTACATAGAGGACACATGGAGTATGCTGGCACAATGCATGATTTTATGGATTATTCTGATTTGGTTTCATATGTTGATAATCCAATGTGGGGTCTTTTAATGTAACAATATATGGCTTTCTTAAATCATTTAGTATGTATTGTATGTTCTGGTTTTACAATATTATATGTAAATAATTAAATTATTATAAACTATTAAATTAACTTTCTTTAATAACAATCATGGTGACTGTTTTACTTTGTGGAAAAGTAATAAATGTATACTTTTGTTTGTTTAATGTTGTTTCTGTTTTATATTCCTTATTCACTACCCTAATACTGTTAAAAGTTTTACTGTGGTTACTCAAAATACATTAAATTTGGCTTAGGTGAAACTGGAGAAAAGACAAACTTGGGTGCGTTTCCTGTGGGAAAAGGAGGGCGTCACTTATCTGTGCCATTTGATTCCACTACAGCTAACGGTGACCTAAGTAAGTAATATAAAACCAAATTTTATTGAACAACATGATGATAAAATCCTTTATGGTTTTGAAAGATTTTGTGAGTAGGATGTAGTTATTTATAAGTGACAAATATGATAGTAAAATTCTGTCTTCAACAACTTTAAAATCTATATTAATATTATAAAGAGGTAATATTTGATTGTTTGCATTAAAAAGGACTTGAAATTCAGTAATTTCTTCTGATTTAAAAATTTTTTGATCTATGGGAAGCTACATCAAATAGTAGACATACAGCCAGTTGCTCAATCGTCCATTAAAATGACGAATTCATTAGAGCTTAAAGACATTGTTAAACCTTAATGGATATTTGTGCAACTGACCAATAGACTATAATTAAAGTAGGTGAAGTTGCAGAAAAAAGCAAGCATTTAATAAAATTAAAACCATTGGTAACTCACAGTTACTTGAAACACTTTTATTGCACAATAATTTAAATTCACAAAATAGTATCTGCTTAAAACATTATAATGAATTGGCAAAGGGCTTTTAATGTCATATTAGTAGTTAAACTCAATTCACTAGAACATTATATACTTAGTATATCGTTCAGCAAAATAATATTGTAAGTAGCCAGTGGTGGCCTCCTCCGCAGGCTTTGCTAAATATCTTTAAAATTGATATGACGATTTTGTAGCGATTTTGTCGCAAGCCAGTTCAAGACCATGTCTGAAGTCTTGGGCCCAGGTCAATAAAGAAAATGAACTTTTGTATGTCATCTCAGGTCTGGCTGTTGTGGTAGTTGATATGGTAACATTAAGCATCCAAGAGCATCGCCAGCTTGACGACAACTGTCGCATGCGCTATATTTCGACATTAAATTATATAATATCCTCCATGCTCTGCAAGATTATGGAGGCAGTACGTGTCGGGGTGGAGTTGAGAATAATAAAACCTGAAGTCTCAAGTTTTTGTGGGCATGTCTGTAATAATTTGTATGGTAGCTTGCAGTTTTTAAAGAGTTTGTTTGAAATGGTTCAAGCCACCCCATGAATGGTTGACGCGGACGGCTGTACAGTTTTAGGATGATTAATTAAAATTCTATTCTTGATGCGGTTCGGTGGAACACACAGAAACAGTTATGGGGGCGGGATATGGAGCAGTCCCTGCAGGTAGGATGCATCGTAGGTAGTTAAGTGGGTATGTTACTAGTGTTTTGAATAGCCTTCGAGCATGTCTGTTCTGGTAGATGGAGAGAACCACACACCCCCCATGCCGCAAGTCAAGCAGCAGGGACAATGCATAAAGTGTTCCCCTTATGACATAAAATCAAAAACGCTGACATAAATTATTATTTATCCTTATAGATGCTCAAATCTAGAAAGTAAATTTCTTGTCTACAACACTCTTATATTTAATAGATTTAAAGCTCGAGTGTATATTATATCCCTTGCTGGGATATAGTGGATTGCCTTAAGGTTTCTACCTCGGATAATTATATGTTCGAGATGGGATTATGTTCTTAGTTTTTATGTGCGTTTGATTACACTGACCAACAAAAAAGAGAAATGAATGTTTCCTTTACTGTATGAAAAAAATCTATTAATTTTAGCTTAAGAAAACGAACATGACAAAGAAAAAAATTATTAGTTCTAGTTTTTCTCATATAATGATTTTCACTAAGTAAAACTAACGTAAATATCAATTATATAAGTAAATTATTGAGAATCTAAAATGAAGTAAATTTTAAATTCTCTTTTTTTTTTAAATTGGCCATGGTTGAATTTACGAAGAATCAGTGTTAAGCTCATGATATCGGTGGCTTTGTGCCTTTTGGTGTTTCGCTTGTAAGTGACCTCTGGAGCATCCCTACATTTAAACCATTGTCATTTTCCAAGTACCTCACTAAAGACTTATTTTTTTACACATTACCCATATATTTTTGACCAAACACAATATTTTTTATTACTATTACAGTGTGTTAGTTTAATACATTAATATTAAGCCATTAAAATATATGTATATACAGCTTATTAGAAGTGGTTTCCATTGGCTGCAATACAGTAATTTAAACTTTGAGGCCATTTATCAATAGACGCACACACTCTTTTCATGGGAATTTTCTTAACTGCCAATCTTATGGATTGTTTTAGAGACTCCAAATGCATGGCGTTAGGAGCAAGCCTTACTCTCTAAAACTGATCATAAATCATAATCCAGCGAATAACGATCTGGACTAGATGAGAGTCAGTCTTGTTTTTCGTTCGTTTCTAACCAATTATACCTTAATTATATAAATTGGGTGGATTGAGTTTTATGACCTGGTGCCGAATTTTGCTAAAAGGACTATTCTTGGTAAACATGGTGTAGTCAAGGGGCTTAACTACCTTCTCGAGACTGGTTTCTTGATACGATGTTTTGATGCCTTTTTTACAAAAACATGTCTTGGTCACTTCTTCATAGCTAACACTCCACCAAACAACCCATCACTGAAGTCTGCTAATGCCCACGTTGTACTCTGTTGACTAATTGTGAAGGTTCTTTAGAGCTTTGAGCATAAATACGGTCATATTGTTTGTTAAAATATTGCTTAATCGTAAAAAAAATCTCATCCGTAAATATATTTTTTTCTCTGACCTCCCTTTGCGTGCCGCATATCTAGTTGTTTTGATTTCACCACCCTTTTATTTTTTCAATGAATTTGTTAAGAAGTGACCAGTGCGTATTTTATAGGCTGCAAGTCCTATGTTATTTTTACGCGACATGGTTCAGCATGCTATCTTTATCTATGGAGATAAAATCTTCTGTTTTCAGACTGGGTTTCTTCGAATCTTTTTGTTTGTCAACCGACACTTCTTTTTCCTACCTTTGTCTTACTTTACACTTTATGACTCTATCTTCCATCCGCCCTTCGGCTAACATGTACCGCCCAACGCCATTACCTCCGTGTTATGTCGGTCAATTTAGTACGCCTGTGGATTTTTGTATTCTTTATGTCCCTTTTCACTAAAGTTAGGATGCACCCAAATGTGACACCTAAATATTTGGGACCCTTTTACAATCAAAGTTGAAAATGCGTTACACCACTAACAAAGAGTCATCTGACGACTTTAAAGTTAGGACAGACTGTGCGGCGCCTAGCTCTGGGTATTTGCGTAATATAACATTATACATCTATTTTTTGGCTACATCGGATGTGTTAAGGGATCAAATCAATTTAGCAAGTTTATATAAGAGTTTATATATTAGCATTAAGATATAAACAATGAGAATTGTTGAATTATCGGACTTTTTATAGAGGGTCTTGGGTGCTCCTGTAAATATAAGATCACGTATGTTTTTTCTTCTTTTAAACCTCAAAATAGTTTTTGCCTCTTTACGTGTAAAGGCTACTAATGTAACATTTGCGGAAAGGGTAAACGCAGATATGCCGTATATTAAAAAAAAGAAAAGCAACTGAAGCATGCAAAATCATAAATGTTGCCCATCTAAGCAAGTGCTTAGAAAGGCATTACCTAACGTTACAGGTTTGGTGAAACGACAAATCCGCTTAAGCTACTCATATTATGTGATTTCTAGTTAAGCTATGCTTTGTTGTAAGTTGGTGAAATCGGGCATTATTCTATCACGCAGTTTAATACCGAGCATAGCCCGCTCCATTTCCCTCTATTCTACTTGGAGCTTGCAGATTAGATCTTTGGTATGAGTCCTAGTCTGAGAACTATACACCATGATTGGCACATTTCAAATGCAAGTCTCTGTAGAGCTAGTGGAATCTTCCTACTTTTGAAAATATCGGACAAATTATTAAGCGCAGCCAATCCAAGTTTAATATGGCGGTTTATCTTCTGCATGCAGGGTCCTATCCAGAATAACCAACTGCCCCAGGTTCACATATTGATCTACTCGTGCAATGATTTGATTTGCTGCCTGTATGTCTTATTCGTGTCTTTGCACATAATTTTGAATTTCGAGGTAATCATTCGCAAATCAACTCAAAACGGTGCGATATAGAGATCGTTTACCATAAGTTGGAGGTCGTCTATGTTTTCGTCGTTGTATAGGTCTATTAGTATTATATATATTTACTTTTTGTTATGTTTTTTTATCAATACATTAAAAAAAGCATTGTAAATAATTTTTTTTTATAAGATTACAATTACTTTTAAATTAAGTTTTTTTTATTTCCTGGTCCTAAACTACCAATCATGAATAAGTAGTATTCAATAGGCTTAAAAATAGTAAATCGCTTCAAATGTTTTTGTAACCCCTCGGCAGTCATATATAAACATAACATCGTTGTTTATAGTAAAAAGATCATTCCAATCCACGTATAGACTAAAAATATTATAAATACAGTCGAAATAAAAAGCGATCTAAAAATAACAAAATTGACATCAACAATTTCAAAGAGCAAATTGATGGAGCAATAGTTTATGTAAACCTCGATATATTCGAGGGTAAAAAAAGAGGTATTTGACTAGGCGAGCACCGGGCTCGGGAATAAGGGAGGGTGAGAGGTGCGGGTGTAAGATGCGCCGCGCAGCCTCCGTGCGGCCCGACTCTGTGGCGCCGCCATCGGCGAGTTGATGCTAGGCCCGTGAGTGGACGCCACGCCGTCTATTTATTACGTAGTCGTGGGCCTCTGTGCCGATCTTATGTGGTGATGGCCTGGTGTAGGTGAGCGGCCGTGGAGGGCCCGCGGGCGCCGCGCGACAGGCCGCCGTGGCGGTGCTACGGACCCATGCTTACCCACAGTCGATCTGACGGCGATTTCCCCATATACACTCGAGGTGAGCGTACGTACATTAATCTGTGTTATGGTCGTTGTGCATTAGAGATTGATTACAAGCATGAATTGTCTATACTAGTAGATACTGCGTATATGCATTTGATCTCATATACCTTACTTTTTTTGGTTAGTGATCATTCCATACTGGATTTTATATTATCCATTTCCTATTGTCGTAAAATGCGATAGATCGTCTAAAATGCGCTCGATGTAATGGTCAACATAAAATGTATATATT